ACTGAACTTTGATTTCAGTGATTTGGACTATGAGATGGACACTTGCTTCTTGCACTTTATGTTGCACTTTACTTTTGCTTTAAAAAAAGGATTTCATAGAAATTTGGATTTCATTTGTTTTAATAAAATATAGTTTAATCAAATATTCTGAAGTAAAATTGTTGATTTTTTGTGGGAAATCAATCGTTTAGATTCATCAATTAATTAGTCGATAGATTCATCAAAATAAAAATAGTCGGTAGTGGCAGCCCTAATATATAGTTTCACACAGAGCTCAGAAGGAAAACATAAGTTCAGTCATTTTAAAAGTTGGATATATCAAAGCTCATCTATATGCATGTGTGTCTTCGCGTGATAAGTGTAAACTCAGCCTTAGATGTTTCCCTAATCAAACACACCTGATTCAACTCATCAGCAGAGGCTCCTGTCCTGAAACAGGCGGGTCAGATAAGGGTGTCTGGGTCCTCACATTTAGTGCACAAACACTTGCTCAGCCCTTGAAACATGAAGTCACACCACTGTTGATGGAGGGTGAATTAACAGCAACTATAAGCACTCGCAGTTGGAGCAGACATACTCTGCAGTGTTTGTACATAACAGAGGTTTAAAACTAGCCCATATATATTAAAGACGCATTGATGCATCACTGGCGGTCAAACGGTCTGGAAAACAAGATTCACTTGTGCACATAGCCTAGAGCATAAAGGGTGTATTTCCTCCAGTGTGCACTAAAACACACAAATGCTGCACCTCCAGAACTGCTGAGGACAACATGCAGCTCATGAACACCTCTGAATGCAACAGATATCACACAACACTAACTCATGCAAGCATTCAGAGGAGAGTTAAACCGAACACGTGAACTTAAGTGGTCTTCCAGTCTATGCAGAGATCATTTAAACTAATTTGACATTAATACACACACTGACCTTCATAAAAAGCCATACTGACAAAACTCAGGTAATCAGAAAGTGATATTCCTTGACATTGTGAATGATTATTTGAGCAAACACACACAAAGGCAGACGGACGTTTACCAAATCTCAATCATGTGGACTGTGACCAACGCACAAAAAAAAATTTAAACAATAAAATAAAATCGGCTAGTCTGCAAACTATTCGCGGCCTGCGAGGTCAGAGGTCACTGGCGAATCAGCTTAACGAGCTGAAACTCTAAACAAGTAAACGCCAACTAAACTCTATTGTAAGCAAGTAAAACTTACAAGAAAAAACTGTCAGGTGAACAGAAGCATACACATGTACACACAACTAACTTTAGTGTACGTCGGAAAACGGACAAACCGGATGATTTTACGACGTTATTAGTTCGCAAACAATTCGCTTTCCACAGAAACAGCGCGCTCACTCGGTAACCCGAAGTGTAGAAATATAATAATGACACCGTAAACATTATGAACACTAAGTTAACTGCCGGAACATGAATTATTACAAGTTCTTACAAAGTGACACGTGTGTAACACGCGCTCATACAACGCCAAAACAAACACGGCATATCTGAGAAACGAGTGAAATGAAGCGTCCTTCTTACCTTAATTCGGTTTATAAATTAGCGGCGTGTGCTGATGCGCGCGCTCACGCGTTAAGGGGGGCGATGGCGGGAAACGGAGCCTCTAAGTAAACTGGCACGTGATTGAGCCAATCACGGAGCTGCGTGGCGAGTGTGCCGCTCGCGATCGAACAGTGAGAGGTCGGTGGCACGCGAGGGAGCGGGACCTTTGAGGAGCCGCAGGTGCTGCGGATCAAGCTGTGATGAGCGCGTGCTGCACACTGAGTACTGCTGAGAGTAGCTACTATATGACTGCATACTACACCAGGCAGTCTCGCGCCGTTTCTCATGAGCATGCTTCTTCATTCACGTTTCTATCAGGGCAGGACATTAATGGGGTTTGGGGCAAAAATGCCACCAAAATGAACAAAAATGCCCCCCAAAATGAACAAAAATGCCCCCCAAATTAAAGATAAGGAAGCCAAAAATGCCCTTGAAAAATTAAGCTAGATCTGTTACAGCTACGATTAAAGTTAAATGAATTAAATGTCAGGACTGAGAGATTGCGGCAATTGCATTTAAAATAGATTTGCTCACGTTGCATCAGGTTTCTTTTTAGGCCTTGTTTGCAGCGTTTAACTTTATAACCAATCACACAGATTTCTGTTGAGTTTATGAATGCAGAGACCAATCAGAGGCGCTCGGAGTTAACGTTCTCTTCTATTCTGAAGTTAACTTTCTGTTCTGCTTTGTTTTAAAGTGAATGTTCTGTTCTGAAGTTAACATTCTCTTCTATTCTGAAGTTAACTTTCTGTTCTGCTCTGAAGTTAACATTCATCTCTATTCTGTCAGCGATTAACATTCATCCCTCTTCTATTCTGAAATTAATATTCTATTGTTTTTTTATTCTGTATATGTTCTGTTCTGTTCTGTTCTGAAGGTAACTGCTCTGTTATTAAATTAACTTTCATCTATGTTCTTTTCTGATAATAACATTCTCTTCTATTCTGAAACTAACATTTTGTTCTTTACCATCCTGTTTTGTTCTAATGTGAATGTTCTGTTCTTAACGTTCTATATTCTGAAATTAATATTCTGTTCTGAAGTTAACGTTCTTTTCTGTTCTGGAGTTAATTTTCTGTCCTGTTCTATTTAGAAATTAATGTTCTGTTTTATTCCGGAGCTAGCATTCTTTTCTGTTCTATTTAAAATATAACAAAATGTTCTGTACTTCTGATATTAACATTTCTCTCTCTTCTATTCTGAAATAAACATTCTATTCTGTTTTGTTCTGAAGTAATGCTCTTAAGTTATCATTCTGTTATGCTCTGAAATCAACATTCTGTTCTTAAGTTAACATTCTATTCTGTTCTGAATTTAAAGGGGTCATATGATGTTGCTAAAAATAACATTATTTTGTGTATTTAATAATTTATGCATTCAGCAGACGCTTTTATCCAAAGCGACTTACAGTGCACTCAGGCTATACTTTTTTACCAGTATGTGTGTTCCCTGGGAATCGGACCCACGACCTTTTGCGCTGCTAACGCAATGCTCTACCACTGAGCCACAGGAACACATTTGGTGTAATGAAATGTGTTTATGCGGTTTAAAGTTTTAATTTTATTATTTTCCACATATTGTACATTATTGTTTCTCCTCTATGCCCCGTCTTTCTGAAACGTGTCGATTTTTACAAAGCTCATCGGTCTGAAAAGTGAGGTGTACGCTGATTGGCCAGCTATCCAGTGCATTGTGATTGGCCGAATACCTCAAGCGTGTGACGGAAATGTTATTTATTTTATTTCAGTTAATGGTTTTTAAAGTAAAACAGTTTTTGATAGCCTGCATTTGGGTCTGACTCAGAGATGCTGGAATAGGCTTCAGCCCTCCCAACATAGGATAAATTATAACGGGAAAGGATGGATGGATGGATTTTAATAGTTTAAGTTATCAATAATAACAGAAGTTTTAGCTTACCCCGGACTGTCTCTACAGGCTGGCTCTCATCTCTGCTGCTGGACTCTCCTGTTCGGCCACAGTCCGGGCACCGTGTCTTCCTCCCCCGTTCCCATTCCCTCTCCCGCTCCCTCTCCCTCAGTTTACTCTCAGACAGCTGCAACCTTCGTTTCAAGACCTCCACCTCCTGTTTACGGTGACCCACTTCCTCGAGGAAGCTGTCTTCCACCAGCCTGGTTATCTCAAACATGGCTGACTTGAGGACGGTCTCCATGACAACGGCGAGCTGAGACTGGAATGTGAGGAAAAAGGCTTCCGACATCTTCCTGTCTCTTCGAGGACACCTTGATGCAGTGAATGACTCCGGTGAAAATAATCACCCTAAAAAGACGCAAAGACAGAATCAGAAAACTGTGATATTACTGGCATCATGACGACCAACTAAAACCCGTGTCAACTTGTTCCAAATCTGGTATTTTCATCAAGACTCTCAGCAGGTGGGCGTTTTGTTATTGTTGTTTGTGCACCACGTGCATGATGCAACACACAATCTGATTATTGCTGCCAATGCTATGTTATTAGACATTTCATTTAATTTAATTTATGCATTCAGCAGACGCTTTTATCCAAAGCGACTTACAGTGCACTCAGGCTATACTTTTTTACCAGTATGTGTGTTCCCTGGGAATCAGACCCACGACCTTTTGCGCTGCTAACGCAGTGCTCTACCACTGAGCCACAGGAACACATTTGGTGTAATGAAATGTGTTTATGCGGTTTAAAGTTTTAATTTTATTATTTTCCACATATTGTACATTATTGTTTCTCCTCTATGCCCCGTCTTTCTGAAACGCGTCGATTTTTACAAAGCTCATCGGTCTGAAAAAGCGAGGTGTTCTCTGATTGGCCAGCTATCCAGTGCGTTGTGATTGGCCGAATTCCTCAAGCGTGTGACGGTCACATCATATGACCCCTTTAAATAAGTGCTTGCGGTTCGGTATCACTTACCTCAGATCAAGTCTCAAAACCCCTTCTTTTCCAGTGTAAGCTGTGTCTGTGTCTTTGCATATAGCCTAAAGTCCTGTTATTTCTTTCCATGAGCTTTGCACATGTCAAGTACCTCTGGCAAAAGATTCTGCCAAACTAGTTTGACTCTGAGGTGATTGTGTCTACTTGCTTTAGACACCAGAGGGCACATCTTTCGGCTTTCACCTCTCTCAATCTCATTCAGTCACAGCCACTTATTCACATACCACAGAATAGAAATCTGTTATCTACTCTATAGATTAGCTGTATTACATTTCTGAGTGAAATAAGGTCTGATGTGGTTTAAAGCAACTTCTTAGTAGCTTTTCAATAAGAAAGAAGTGAACAATTTCCTCTTTTTTTTCCAAAGGCGCTTTAATATTACATGTGGAATTACTTTTTTGTTTGTTTGTTGTTTATTTTAAGTTTCAAGTATTATTTAAGTACGTTAAGTGTAACTTGCAAATCATGAAGACTAGGATTTAAATTAAAAAAATACAATTCTAGATGACTAAAAGAAGCGTTTATGAATAGCTACTCAGCATACGTTTGCGAATCATTAAACATAGCTAATATTTATTACGAGATAAACCTTTTCTGCTCAGTATATTAATAAATGTAATGCACAAAAGAGACCTATTTTGACACATTTTGAAAGGAACAAATGAAAACATGCGTGAAAAGAAGACAGTGGCGCACACAAGAGCCGCGTTTCACCTTTGTTTACGTGCGTAACAATTCCTTCCGCGAGGAAAACTAGATCCGGACACATGCGTTGATCGTTAAACGAAGAACAAAATCACGCAAACCTGCTCATTTACATTGAACATTTGACGAAAACACACAACAGATGTTAGCGATGGAGAGACAGACGGTGAAGCTAAGGGAACTCGAGAGTGATGCAGCGGAGGGATACCGGAGTGCACAGCGGCGCAGCTGCGCAGAGCTACTGGACAGAGAACGAATGCTGTAGTGTTGACATATTTCATTAATGCTCAAAATTATCAAGCGTATCGCCACTATGCCGGGAATGATGGACAAAGGGTCGGAATATCTGGGGAAAGGTCGCTCAAATGGGACGAAAAGCCCGTCGAACGCCTCGAATGGACATTTTTCGGACGAGAGCGGCAGCGACGACGAGCACGGTATAGCCTCGAACACCCCTGCGGAGGTTGTTTATGTACTTTACTGGAAAACAAATCGCTTAACAAGCTCGAAACATCACACATTATTCTTGTTTTCAGATGTAGGCATGCGTGTGGGCTCAGATTATCAAGCAAATATTCCTGAGTTTGATCCAGGTAGGGAAAAGCACTGCATTCCGCCTCTTGAGAACCTGACTGACTGTGGTAGCCTCGGTACAGCTATCGCGCCGAACAATTTGCGTATAAATCTATATTTTAAACTTGTATGCAAGGATCTGAGGTGTCGAATGGACCATGTTGGTATTTTAAATCTGTTTTTAATGCTGGTGTATGATTACGTACTCATGCAAAGCTTTTTGTGAGAGGATGTTAGCTTTCTCGCTTAGCCACTCTTCAGCTAATATACCCAGTAACTTTGAGATATGATTGAATATGAGTCACAGTTTAATCTTGATTTTTGCTCGTTTATAAATCAGCTATTTAAACAGGGGAAACGTTTAATAACTTGTAAAATTGTAAATTTTCCTAAGGCTATAACATAGCAGTTTTGTGCGTTATTCAGGACTGAAGTGAAAATGCCTTTAAGTTACTATTTAACTTGTGAATTTTGCGAATAAGACACAAAATTGTGACCGGAATGTGATTTAACCCTCCAATAACTGCAACACTAAATAATTTTAATTAATATTGGTAATACTAAAATTTTAACTCATCAAATTAACAGTGAAATCTTAAAAGTCTAACATTACACGTTTTTTGGACACGTTTAATGCATACTTTTTGTATTGTAATCTTGTAGGCTTCACAAAATACAGCGATAAAGACCACGGTGGCATGTTGGTTTGGTCTCCATATCACACCATACTTGACTCTAAATGTAAGTATTTGCAACTTTTTTTTTTTAGGGCATTTAATTTTTTATTGTGACAACATCATGCATTATTGTGTACGTGTGTGTGTATTGTGATTTTTTTTTTCTTTTCAGTGGATGAGTACATTGCAATTGCAAAAGAAAAGCATGGATACAATGTTGAGCAGGTGAGTTACGAGCACACAGTCCTCAATGCTATCGTTGTTGGCCATGTTAATTAATGTATGGCTGTCCTCTGTGCTCCACAGGCTCTCGGCATGCTCTTCTGGCATAAACACAACATCGAGAAGTCCCTTGCTGATCTGCCAAACTTCACCCCCTTCCCTGATGAGTGGACGGTGGAGGACAAGGTGTTGTTTGAACAAGCGTTCAGTTTTCATGGGAAGAGCTTCCATCGGATCCAGCAGATGGTGAGTCGTCACTGCTAGTGCTACTGAGCTAACAGTGACATGTCTTCAAACTAAGAGGCTTTATCTCATTATAAATGTGTCTAGGTCACGTTTAATCCCAAAACCAGAAATAGAAATAATACTTTATGGCAATGCATTTATCTACAATTTCGCATAACCATAATGCAGAATTATTATTATTATTTTTTTTTTACTATTATAATGCATTTAGGTTTATGTGTGTGTTAAATAATTTTCATTGTTATTGTAATACAGTAACTGTATTAACAGTGTTACTTTAATGCGTTTACTTTTTAATTTATGCTAATTTAAATGAAAAGACAGTACAATAAATACTGCCATGATCAATAAAAACCTTACCATTAGAAAGTTTTTGCATCAAGATCATGTGCTTAATTATTGTTATTACAATGTGAAATTAAAGTGCACTTGCATACAATACTGGACAAAAGTTCAGAATAATTTTAATTTTTTTAATTAACATTCAATTTTTTAATGTTAATGTAAGAATTCTCTTATGCTCACCTAGGCTGAATTTATTTAATTAGAATTAACGTTAGGGCTGCACGATTAATCGCATGCGATATTTAATGTGCATCTTATCAGTAAAGCCGGTTCTGTAATCAGCGGTAAATCTCCATCGTTAAAAAAAAATTAATATATTACAATTTAAAAGACTTGTTGTCCTTTTCAATATTTTTTAAAATGTAGCTTATTTATGAGATTCTGTGATGTAAAAATCATAATACTGTCAAATGTATTTTTACAACTTAAAATAACTTATTTAACTTATTAGTTAAATTTATTTGTGTGATGCAAAGCTGAATTTTGAGCGTTTTTAACCTGCGGTCACACTAGACAAAATGTAAAAACACAATCTATCCACTTTCCTAAGACACTGCAGTTTTAAATGCATGTTTTAATTCAGCTGTGAGGGACGTGTTGATCTATTGCTATGAATTTGCAGGGCAGATTTCCCCGAGCTTAAACTTAGGAGCGCAGTGAAATGTGAATCTTCCCTTGAACTTGCATTTCCGCTCTCCTGCATTCGCATGCGTATGAATGGAGGTCAAAGGAACGAAAAGTGTAGCGTGACTTGCACCTTCACTCCAGTCTTCAGTGTCACATGATCCTGTAGAAATAGGGATGTAACGATTCACTCAACTCACGATTCGATTCACTTTTTTCTTCTTTTTTTACAAAATTTGATTTTTATATATATATTTCAAATTGAAATATAACACTATAATAATATACTAATATAGCACTTGCATATTATTGCTCTTTTTATCTAGGTTTTGATTGCTTGTTCTCATTTGTAAAGTCGCTTTGGATAAAAGCGTCTGCTAAATGACAAAATATAATGTAAATGTAAATAACAAAACTACATTGAAATTTTAAAACAAACCCCAAATCAAATAAATAAGTAACACAAATAAAAGAAATCTCTTCATATAAACAAAATAAGGCTTTGTCTTGTGCTCTTTCCATTTAAAATTAGAGGCAACCACTGCATTTTAATCATGATTCAAACAAAGATGCTGCATATATGCAACATGAGCAGTTTTTAATCTAAATTAAATTGTATAATCTCGAAATTTGAAGCAAAAACAGAATGGTTTGATCTCAGTTTTGTGAAACCATCCATAAAAATATCTGCATGAAACAGAAACAGCAGACGAGCTGAATCAGACACAGATTCACTCTCTGCCAGCAGGTGGCGCTTAAAGCGTTTCCTTGGTTTCCGCTGCGCTTATGAACTTCAATATGCGTTATACAGAGGCAAGAGGAAAAGAAAACAATACCATCTAAACTTTTCTAAAGACAGTAAGTTCCCCTCAGACATGAATTCATATAAACTCCTACACCTAACTGAATCGCGATTTGTTTAACAGCTCAGCCGATTTGAATCGTCACATATTTGAATCAATTTTTAACCGGCTCGCGGTTAATCGTTACATCCCTATGTAGAAATCACTCTAATATGCTGATGTGCAAAAGATTTTTCTTTCAAATAAATGCTGTGCTTTTGAACATTACTCTTTTGCAGTTTCTGCTTTCTATTCATTGAAGAATCCTAAAAAACTGCATCATGGTTTCCACAAAAGTATTAAGCTACAAAAGCTGTTTTACACAATAAGATATTACATTATACTGTGCAACACATTAACAACTGAGCACCAATAATAATTTATGACTGAGCAGCAAATCAGCATATTAGAGTGATTTCTGAAGATCATGTGACACTGAAGACTGGAGTAATGATGCTGAAAATACAGCTTTGATCACAGGAATAAATTACAGTTTTCAAATATTTAACTACAAAACAGTTATTTAAATTGTTATATTTAACAGTATTAACTTACAGTTTTTACTGTGGTTTTGAATAAATGATTGCAGCCCTGATTTCTTTCAAAAGCATTTTATTGCTAAATAAAAATTGCCTTTTTTTTTTATTAATGTTGTTTTATTTTGGTATAAATCTATTTTTGTGAGATGTTCCCTGTTGGAGTCACTGATACTTCACAATCATCATTAATTGCAATTTTATACCCTACACTCAAATTCTTGAATTTGATAATTGATTGTAGTTGCCGGACAAATCCATATCCAGTCTTGTGAAGTACTACTATTCGTGGAAAAAAACGCGATCCCGGACGAGTCTGATGGACCGACAAGCGCGAAAGCTGGCAAACCGGAGTAATCAAGATGAAAGGTCACTTATCCATTTGACCTTTGAGCTCATTTATGAGTTGATTCAAGTTTTTAGTGTTTCTGGTCTTTTTACTTTTGCTTTTGACATAATAGTGAGGAAGAGATGGAAGAAGCCAACCCCATTGAGGCCAATGACAGTGACTATGACCCTACAAAAGAGGTGAAGAAGGAGGTAATGTGATTTTGTAATAAATGCATATCTCAAATATTCAGAAGTATGTTAAAGGATACAAATGCCCCTTTTTACAATATGTAATATAAGTCTCTGGTGTCCCCAGAATGTGTCTGTGAAGTTTCAGCTCAAAATACTCCACAGATCATTTAGTATATCATTTTGAAAATGCCTATTTTGAGTGGAAGCAGAAACACGCTATTTTTCGTGCCTGTCTCTTTAAATGCAAATGAGCTGCTGCTCCCCACCTCCTTTTCCAGAGTAGAGCTGTGCCATTACAGCTCATATCTACTTAAAACCTGGAAAAGTCAGATTTTCATGTTATGTCACCTTTAAAGGTGTCTATTGATTCCTTTATATTTCATCTTTTTTCAGCGTCTCAATGCAGTGATTTGTTTTTCCCCTAACAGAGTCATGCAGAGCCTCAGATGCTGAGCTCCAAAATTGCACTGGGACGGAGAGAGCACCAGACCCTGCAGCACCGTCACCACAGCCAGCGGTCCAAGTGCCGCCCTCCCAAAGGCATGTACCTCACACAGGAGGACGTGGTGGCCGTCTCCTGCAGCTCCAGCGCCGCAAGCTCTGTCCTGCGGCAGCTCGACATGGAGCTGGTGTCCCTGAAGCGACAGGTACGGCCAGGAATCTCCAAGAGGTTAAAAAATACAAATCTTGGGGATAATAAATTATTATCCGATTAATACAGTGTTAAATGGTTTAAAAAGTAATTATTTTTTTTCTTTTTCTTTCATTTTTTTTTTTTCAGTAATTTATCAAATATTTTAAAACGTTTGCTGCATGGTTAAAATACGCTACGTGTATAAAATAAAATTGCATTTTTGAGAGAAGTCGTGTATAATAAAGCAGTAAGCCCCAAGAAGCCGTGGTTTACAGCGAATTTAAAACAGCTAAGGGGCGTTGTTAGGTACGACGCTAAGCTAACCCCCATAGTTGTTATAAATTCACTGTAAACCACGGCTTCATGGGGCTTATTGCTTTTATAAAACGGTTATTCCATATACGTAGTAAGGTTTCACAAAATAAAACAGCAAATAAAGTATAATGATAATAAAAACAGTATTCTTCCACCAAACAATGTAGTTCCTCAGAAACCCCAGTTGTGGTTGTAACAAAGTGGTTGCCGAGCAGCACACAAAGTAAACAAAGGTGTGTGTTTGTAGAGTAATTTACAACAGCTTCGAACGCGGCTCAGCCAATCAGAATCAATGACAGAAATAGGCCTAATGTGGACGCAAAATTTTTATAAGCATTATAAACATAGCTAGGCTAGGCTATTTTTAGTTCCCTTCATTCCACAACAAATCCTTTCAGTTTAATAGTATTCAGAAAAGAACAAGAATGGAAAATATAAGAAGCTAGACAAGCCAAAACGAATTCATTTAGGCTAAAGCCAAACTGAAACCAACGTTGGGTCTCTCATTCGACACAAATCCAAATGTTTCTGTATTCGTGGTGTATTTGAATGCCAAAATATTATTTTTGTAAACCTGGTTTGGTACTTCAGTCACGTTCAAACATCCATGTAAAACAAATTGTATTTGGCATAACATCACGGCGGGACGGTGATAATGTTTAAAGGCACAGATTTTTTAAATTGAGCAATGTGTTGTTTTCCATATGTTTGCCTGACTGTATTTTATTATGATAATGAACAGGCTGCATTGTCAAGTAAGCAATGCTTAACTGTGTGAGAGCGTGTGGCGCCGGCGCAATCACTTGACTTTTTTCCTTCTAACAATGGAAACAACTACTCCTAGCCATACAGATAATCGAAACTGTAAAAGGTTTGCTTTTATTTGTGTGCATTACCAATAAAAACAAATCTTTGTGCTTTTGTAAAATAAGGAAAAATAGGATGCCGCTTTCTGCCATCTTGGTTTCCTTTCGTGCAGCACAAAAATAAACCGAAACTGTGCATACTAGCCTGCTTGTTGCAGTTTTTTTTTCTTTCATTTTGTATATTTATTAAGTAAAAATATCTTGCGTAGGCCTATTTATTCATTATATATAGCCTATGTTTATTATCGCAGAAGCGCTGCAGGTGCGTGATGCGGTGTGACTAAGTGAATCCTCATGTTCTGTTGTTTGCTGTCTTTTGCGCATGCAAGATTAAACCCTGAAAAACAAATTTTGGTATTTTTAACGGGTCACAGACACTTATCCTTTCTAATTTAATTCAATTCTGAATTAAAATAATCTTAACGGTTAGTAATCGGTTAACAAGCGCCAGTTGTCGGTTAGGAGAAATAACCGAAATGAGCATCCCTATTCTTAACGTTCTTTCTTCCTCACAAGTTTACCTGGTTTTCTAGGTTCAGAATGCCAAGCAGTTAAACAGCGGACTTAAACAGAAGATTGAAGATGGAATTGATGAATTCAGACTGCCTGAGGTGACTCATTTCTGCTTGCACTTGTTCTCATATGCACTTTAATCTGAATTGTTTGCATATCGTCATTTTGCTAAATGTCACGTTTTGTTCCAGTGCACCCAAAAAATTAATGCCCGCTGGACAACAGATGAGCAGCTTTTGGCAGTACAAGGTAAGTAAATGGTTACTGGCATCAGCTTTGTACCTGTTATCATACCAAATTTCACTCACAACATCTTTTGCCTCATTTAACTAGGGGTACGAAAATATGGGAAGGACTTCCAGGCTATTGCTGATGTGATTGGGAATAAAACGGTGGGGCAGGTGAAGAATTTCTTTGTGAACTATCGGCGTCGCTTTAACTTGGACGAGGTGCTTCAGGAATGGGAGGCGGAGCAGGGAACACACACTCCCAACGGAGACGGTGCCAGCTCTGGTGAGGATGGAAAGAACAGCAACATCTCCTCAGGAAAGAACACAGATGAAGAAGAGGAAGAGGTAAGGGTTAAAACTGTGAAGCCTCTCATATGAATCCGTCTCTGTGGTTTAATTTTATACTGTGAAACAGTGGCCGGGGCCAGTGCTGCCACCTTGTGGAACAACTGTTTAGTGCAAAACAATTTCAATGTGCGTGTGCGACCTTGCGCGTACAAAGTACTCGGGTTACAAAAATCGGGTGGTGCATGTGCAGTACATGCGTACTTTTGTGATGACGAAATTTGCATCACGTGCACTGTACGCATTCGCTAGTGTACGCGTAACAACTGAAGTCAACTTTGGGCTAGTGTTGTCAAATACCAGTTGATAATGAAATTAAAAAAAAAGTCATACATACAATGATACAAATATCAGTTGTCACTCTAGATCTCCCAATAATACCTTAGTAAGATTATACTTAATGCTTAGTTTTATGATCGAAGCTGTGTCGTTTTTATTTTGGGGGACAAAACATATAATGCAATGCAATACAATGACGATGAGACATGTACAAGTGGATGTTTCTCAAAAGCCTGTTGTATCATATTTAATGCATTTCAACATGATTTCTCTGGAAAAATTTATGGATAATCAAGTAAACCTAAGTGGCTTCAGTCCAGCGAGTTGATCTTGAATAGTATTAATGTAAAAGCTTTTCGTTTGTGCTTATTGTGAAATGTTTAATGAAGACACGTGTACAATATCCTAAGTGTGGACGTTTATGCAATTATACTAACTATTTTGTAAAAAAGTATAAGGTCTTTTAGTACATGGTAAAAATATGGTATTTCCCTTTGAAACTATCAGTCAAGTCACCTTTATTTATATAGCGCTTTTAACAATACAGATTGTGTCAAATCAGCTTTACAGTATTAAATAGGAAAATAGTCAATGATGCAAAATGATAATAACTGACAGACAATAACTGATAAACACTCAATTTTCAGTTAAAGGCAGTTCATCATTGAATTCAGTGATTCCATCGTCCATCTCAGTTCAGTTTAAATAGTATCTGTGCAGTCGAGTCGACGATATTGCTGGAAATTAAGTGTCCCCAGCTAAGCAAGCCAGAGGCACCAAAACTCCCATCAGTGACAGAATGGAGAAAAAACCTTCAGTCGGAGTTCTGAATCTCTTCCCTTCCACCACAGTTGTTTGGCTGAACTCTTCTTTAAACACCTAGCTTTGCCTCTCATAAAGTAGTAAAAAATGAAACCAGTGTTAAGTTGTCTTCACCTTTCTTTCTTAATCAGGGTCAGGTGACCCCAGCCTCGGGTCCGTCTCCTGTAGCCACATCAGCATCTCTAACAGCAGCCAGCAGCTCCAGCTCTCTCAACCAGCCTCCACCTCTTCTGCGCCCATCTCTTCCTGCCACTCCAGCGCTACACCGTCAGCCTCCACCTCTGCAGCAGCAAGCCCGCTTCCTTCAGCCCCGTCCTGCCCTGAACCAGCCTCCGCCGCTCATCCGGCCCTCCAACCCCCTCCCTCCGCGCCTCAACCCCCGCCCCACAGCCCCTGCTCCCTGCATGGCTTCAGCCGCGCCGGGCCAGCAGCCGCCCTCTCTGGTGGGCATCCAGTCCGAGACGCCCTCCTCCTCTCTACACTGATGTGTTTCATATTTGTGACATTGCTGATGAAGGTAATTAGTTAGCAGTTCTCGTTGTGAATACTAGGAAAAGAATGATCGTTTTAAAATGTGTATATATTAGTTACGTAACTTTCTATTTATTTGACCTGATTTTTTATTTTATTTTTGATTTTGTAATCATGTTGTAACATTGTACTTTAAAGCGATTGATTGTTCACCCAGAAATGAAAATCACCCCATGATTTACTCACCCTCAAGCCATCCTAGGTGTATATGACATCTTCTTTCAGATGAGTACAATCAGAGTTATATTTAAAGAATGTCCTGGCTCTTCCAGGTTTTATAATGGCAGTGAATGGCTGTCGAGATTTTGAAGCCCAATAAAGTGCGTTCATCCATCATAAAAAGAGCTTCACGCGGCTCCGTCAGGTTAATAAAGGTCTTCTGAAGCAAATCGATGCATTTGTGTAAGAAAAAAACAACCAAGTTTTGTTTACAGCAAAGGAAAACCCAGTCTCCTCTTGGGTTTATATCGAAATCCTCTTGACATTTTTCTTTACAAAACCTGGTTTTGTGCTTGTAATTCGTGACTGGTGTTTTGTTTTGCTGTCTCCTCTGCGCTTCCGCGTTCGTCATTTCTCTCTCGTGAACGTGCGTACGACAGTTAAGGTTACGGTTTATAAAGTTTTAAATATTTTTGTCTTACACAAATGCATCTATTCGCTTCAGAAGACCTTTACTAACCTGACGGAGCCGCGTGAAGCTCTTTTTATGATGGATGGATGCACTTTATTGGGCTTCAAAATCTCGACACCCATTCACTGCCATTATAAAACTTGGAAGAAGCAGGACATTTTTTTATATAACTCTTATTGTATTCGTCTAGGATGCCCTAAGGGTGATTACATCACCGGGTAATTTTCATTCTCGGGTGAACTATCGCTTTAAGTCTTTAAAATATTGTGTTCTATCTCAGCACTTTTTCTTGTTGTTCCTTAGTATCTATGATGTAATGGCAGACCTCTTTAAAAGGGTTTTGCTTGTTATTTTGTTGTTCATCTGTGTCTGTGGTTGATTACTGTGTTGTGTCGTTTTATGTGTTTCATATTTTAATATTTGGTGCTACAGACTGACAGAAAATCACCTGTCCAAATTCTCTTGCCATCAAAGTGCTCTTAACAAGAAAATATAATCTCATACTTAATTGCTAATGAAAATCGTAGAAAATTCCTACTGTCATACCCTTTTTTTGGGGGGGGTCATGGATGCCAAAAACAACTTCAGTCCCTTTTGAGTATAAAACACTTATTTTCAACCTCATCTGTTAATTAGAATTTAATCGGGTTTGTTTCTAAACCTGTTTGACTTGCAGAAAAGTGTAAACACTTTCCAACCAGACATTAAGCTGTTGACCTGAGCTGTTTCATTAGGTGTGCTGTTTAATCAGAATATGCATGTAGCGTTACCCTTCTTCAGTTAATCAGATCATGCTTACATGCACCTCGTTTTCCAATTTAGGTCTATATTCTGGTTAAACCTTTATTCTGAAAGATGTTTACATAATCCACAGCTCTGAATATTACTGTTTACATGAAATGAGCATTATCGGAATAGACTAATGTACATTCTTTCCCCTTTATTCTCTTCTGGAAATAATGGTGAATGCCTTGCCCTTTGTTTTAGTAATTTAAGCAACTAATTTATCATTGATCTTATTAATATTACTCAAGAATGTAAATTTATATCACTAGATGACATTTCTTCTTTGTAGAACATTAATTTAATTAAAGTAGTTTTGCTCCAAATTTTTTTAAAATGTATTTTCATGAGTAGATTGACTTCTCACAGCTTTATAATCCAGAATTACTTTTGTTTGGGTGTGCAGATATTCAGTTACGGTGTTTTTAAGGTCTTTGCAAGACCTACACTGTCTCATTCGTATCTTTAGAAACTGAGATGTTAATCTGGTTATGGTAGTCTGCTCGACAATTACATAACCAGAATATGACCGATCATATATTTGATTAATGCTGGAATATTCCTGTGCATGCAGACAGTCACTGTGTAAACACGTTTCACTTGTGTACAAACTTAACCATGATTTATCTCATTTTCTTGCTAGTTCCTTTGAAGTCTTAACTAGAGTTTTATGTGTGTGTGCTCCTTGCACTTACAAAATCATTTTAATGCTTATTTCAGCAGAAAAAGTGCTGTTTCTACTGTATGCAGATTGGCTGCGTATTGAAAAGTGCTTAATGTCTCAAACAATACACAACCATTTTTGACGATATTAAGTTATTTTTTTATGCAAATTACTTGCATTTTTTTAAAGAACGGGTTGTAGGCAGCTCAGAGTGTGGTGGCATTATATGTAAAATAATGAAAAGTCTCTTCTCTAAATTTGTGCCTAAAGCATGTTCATATGTGAAGTGTCATATGGAAACATTAAAACACGTTTGAACACAGACTCTAATTTCATTTTCATTTAATTTAGCATTTCTACATACTGGAGTGTTTGTTCCTATTTTAGTTGCAAGATGCATTCAAGTGTATCTCAGCTATTTATGGAATATTTAATGTAGTTTCTCTTACTCGTTTACAGAAACTTCCTGCAGTGCACTTTCCGTTCAAGAAATTACTAAACCTACTGTAGCCAAGGCTTCCTTTATGAATATTCATTAGCTCGTTGCGTTGCAACTTTTCTGTGACGGTCCATCATTAATATTCATGAGTCAAGGCCTTCGCCGTAGTAGGATTGGTCATTCCGAGACGCGTCGCTGTCAAATATATATATCAGGATTAACTCGCATCCACTGAACCTCACATTACTCGAAATGAGCTATTAACACCATCAGCCCTCAGGTAAGTAAACCCGTGCATTTTGAAATAAATACTGCGATTTATATAGCTGATAGTGTAAAGCGAAAGTAAATGTTTTAAATGTGGACTAGATGGTTAGGTGAGCTGCTGGCTGTGTTTATAAAGGGGTGTAATAGTAAACTGCTTGAGTTGAGTTTAGATTCACAGTGCCATGTTGTTGCACTGGGGATTCCCCATAAGCTTGCAATCTCTCTCACAGGAACAGCCCGCAGTGCATCAGTAACAAAAGTAGCTTAATGCGTCGATTCTGTTACTATAATTTGGTCATAATCGTTTTTTAACTATGCGGTGATAAATTGAAGTCTCCTTTATTAGCACTTTATTCTATTTTGCTGTGTATATGGGTAGGGAAGATGTTAAAAATGTGATAGTTACCCACATTTCTACACCTTGTATGGCTTTGTAGTTTTACAAAACTGAAAGTCAAATTGAACTGTATCTGTCAGCCTTGTAACCCCTCATAGCTATGTTCCAAGTTAACATACAGGTTATTGAAATGAATTCATTTTAGATAGCATAGTGCATTTATTAACTGAACATTTTTTTCATTTTTTCACTTTTACTTCTTTTTTGTTTGTAATTTTATCAGACAGGGTGGAATGGTTGATAATGACAAAACCGCACATAAAAATGATAAAAGAAAATGTAAGATTATGCGAATCATCAAAAAATGACTGCTGTATGAGCTCAATAGGAAAAGGAACTGGCTTTAGTTCATGTGATGTTATAAAAGACACAGGATGGAGCTTTTGAGAACAAGGAAGGAGATGCTAAATTGATTACCAATTAAAACAATTTTCCTGAGAAAACATGTTTGGTTTGAAACATTTTGAATAAGGAAACAATGAAGAAACACTTGGAATTACTTTTTTTTTCAATTCATTTCAGACGTTTTATAAAAGCTGCCATCCAAACTATTCAAAATTCACTCCATCTTAATTTAATTTGAACTTTTAAATCAACAATTATTATAATATAATATTAATTTAATATTATATTAAATATTACTATAAGCATAGTTTTTGAATAAAACTGAAAACGTGTGTGTTTGTGTATTTTATTAACTTTCTGATACCCAGTTATTTGTATTATAACTTAATACAATATTTGAAATTGTGAATGCAAGTAAATGTGCATTAAAATATGTAACCCAGGACCACAAAACCAAAATTGAGATGTATACATAATCTAAAAGCGGTATAAATAAGCTTTCCATTGATGTATGGTTTGTTAGGATAGGACCATATTTGGCTGAAATACAACTATTTGAAAATCTGGAATCTGAGGGTGCAAAAAAAATCTAAATATTGAGAAAATCGTCTTTAAAGTTGTCCAAATGAAGTTCTTAGCAATGCATATTACTAATCAAAAATTAAGTTTTGATATATTTACTGTAGGAAATGTACAAAATATCTTCATGGTACATGATCTTTACTTAATATCCTAATGATTTTTGGCATAAAAGAAAAATGGATAATTTTGACCCATACAATGTATTGTTGGCTATTGCTACAAATATACCCCAGCGACTTAAGACTGCTTTTGTGCTCCAGGGTCACATATGTTGAACTTGGAGCACAGCACAACAAGAATTATATAAATGCTTAATGTAGCCTGTTATTGCTTATTTGTAGTATTTGTTCCAGGTGTTATTAGAGGATTTGGATAAGTAGATCAACTTCAATGATGCTAAAAACAAAAGAGGAGCATGAAACAGAATTGCATTTGTCAATGCAGTTTACATATCTGTCGCTGTGTCACTGTGATTTCAGCAGGTTTCCATGGCCGCAGAGGAGAACGAGTGCGTGTCCCGGCAGGACTCTGAGCTCATGAGGTCATGGGAGCTGGAAGCCATTCTGACCAATCGCACGCTGCACTTCGTGTTGCGCTTAGAGCAGCAGTTTGTTTGCCCGTCCTGCGGTGTGATCGTCCTGAACCCTCACCAGACGGGCTGCGGGCACATCTTCTGCGCTCGGTGCGTGAGGGCTTACCTGTAAGAAAAACTCATTCGCCGAAGTTGTTGCATATCAGCAGAGATAAACAGTGCATAACATGCATCTAAAATGATTTGGCACTGTGTAACCCTTCCTCTTTTCAGTGAAAATGGGGGAAGTTCGAAATGTCCCTTAGACAACATTCCTATAAAACCAGAAGAGGTGAGAATATTAACATTTTAAATGCATATTATATTTCATATATGCATTATATTTCACTGAATAGCAATTCCAATGCTTGCAGATTTTTCAAGACAACTGCTGTAAACGGGAACTGCTAAACTTGGAGATCTATTGCACCAACGCCCCAGACTGCACACAGAGGGTTACCCTATGCGACCTTCAGGTAAAAGCCAAAACGTGACCTAATATGCTGGAAATTGCATGTCT